CATCCAGCCACTGAACCTCATCCAGCCACACTGAACCTCATCCAGCACCGGCTGGCCCACAATGGGTTTGGCTACATTACCTAGCAGGCTAACATTATCCAGCTAAAAGCACAGTGTGACATATTCCACAAGCTTTGCAGTGATGTTATCTTTGACTTTGGACTTTAGACTTTACATTCACCCAGACTCACGTGGCTCGTCTGCAGGTTTCTTTGTCATTATACATTATGCAGAGTGGCTCGTCTGCAGCTGGCTAATACAATCTGAGTGGATGTGTTGTTGACAGCGCTAGCTACTGAAAACCAAACTGTTCTCAGGATGAAACACGTGGACGTAAAATGAAAGAAAACAGTTTAATTCAGAACAAAATGTTTGTCTGTGCAGCTCAAAAAGGAAGTGTGGCTCCGTCCTCGTGTGTTTGGATGTTGGACCCTCCGGCTGTAAAGGTTCACATTCCTCTCTGCTGATCTGTTGGCTGTGAAGCATGAAGCTACATGTTTCTGGCCTCTGCACATTCTTCCTTTATCATCTGCTGAAATGTGTTGGACAGACTCCAGAAGTCCAGACTGGAAACAGGAGAGAGAAGTTTAACCCCTTTATGTAATCAGGAAACACTCCTCTTATCATCCAGTCGAGTCGGACCTTGACGTTCCCTGTTTGAGGAAGAATGTGGCAAACACAAACAGATCCCAGAGCTGTTCTTATTAAAGCCACAGAAACACTTCACTGTTAGCTCATTAGCTGCACTAGCTCCTCTGTTAGCGTATAAACGGCTCCACGGACGTCAAACTAATACTGCTTTTATTACACAGACTTATTGTTCTGTTAGCGACTGAGCTTCATGTTTCCTCTTCAGGAAGTAAACCGAACTCTGTGATTGGCTAGCAGGTTAGTCACAGCTAACAGTGACCTTTGACTGTGTTTTATTTTATTATCGTTAGTCTGTACGCCTCTCACCTGAGGTCAAAGGTCAGCTGTGTGTCAGGCCTCTTGTTGTTTTTGATATTTTGTGGACAGCTGGTGTGAAGCAGCCAATCAGAGACCAGAGTCCCTGCTCTGGTCTCTGATTGGCTGCTCTGGACTCTGGATCCGTTTGTTTCATCTGGAAACAACAAGAACCAAACATCCAGAAACAGTCTTTAATTTAAAGTTTACAACCGTGAGAGAGAGAGAGAGAGAGAGTGTGAGTGTGTGTGAGTGTGAGTGTGTGAGTGTGTGTCTGTGTGTGTGTGTGAGTGTGTGTGTGTGTGAGGGTGAG